GTGTTTTCCTTTGCTTTTATATAGAGGGGTCTCTGCTGAATGAGTGATGCCTCCAGAGTCCTAAAAAACAAAACCAGAAACAAGCCCAAAACAACCAACCCCAATCAAACATCACAAGACAGCCAAAACTGCAAAGCCACAGGAAAAGGGGAGAGAGAGAAGACAGAAAAGACACTTCCTCCCCCTCGCTGCCCACACATGCAAACAATCAGTTTTAAACTGTAAGGTCAGGGCTTACACTGTGGGTATGCCCACAGAGGATTTTTTTTTTAATATCCTGTGAAAACAGTAATATAATAATAAAATAACAATACTGTGAAAACAGTAATTTCAGAAGTCAAACATGACCTCCTAAAATTGAATAGCAAACAAGTATTTATATAATGAAATACATAACTAGGCATGGTATAGGAGTCTGGATTTTACTTCAGTCAATTGCTAGGAACTGACTTCCACAGCACTGGACTGTCAACCAAATTTTTACCAGGAAATGCACACCTGCCAAGCAACTCCCAATATTTTATTCAACTATCACAATCTCATTGGAAAACCTACTTCATTTCTTTTTCCATATGCTGTTGGTCCCTGTTTAGTATCCCAAACGTTTTTTTCTTGACTTTAAATGAATCTTCTGCTGTAGAAAGAGCCTCTTTCTTGATATGAGCCTCCATATTCTTTTCATCCAAATTGCTTTTCAGAAAGCTAATTTGTTTTTCATTGTGATAAAGCTGAAAAAGCTGCAGCTGTATCCTTTCTTCATCCAGTTCCTTGAGTAACATCTGGTAATGCTCTGCCTACCAACATTAAAATTCAATTTGTAGTTTATAAAAACTATTGTCCATCATTAGGCTAATTTCAAGGCCAAAGTGATGTAAGATGGTGTACAAGTAGCTCTAATTCCAGTAATGGTCACTAATCATAAAACTCAAACATTGAAGTCAATACTTCAATTAATGATACTGGCAAGTCTACACTTTCTTTTATTTAGATTACATGTATCCCTTTACCTTTTCAAAAGATACTAAATTATTATATAGTATGCCATACTGAAAAAAACACTAGACTAAAACCAAAAAAAGTCTGTGGGCTTGTTTTGTTGTGCTTTTATAAACACTACAGAAGTTCACAAGAGATGCAAAATCTGACAACTCAGCATGAAAAAACTGAGTAACTTTAAGCTACCTCCTCTTTTTCTATCCTTGCTTGTTTGCGTTCCACTGCCACACTTTTTTTCCTGTTATAATTAAACTGTGCATCCTCTTCTGCTTGCTGCATTTTCTTCTTCTTTTGTTCATAGTCTTCAGCATATTCCCAGGAATTACTAATTTGTTCAAAAAGTTGAGTTCTCTCCTTCGGCTTCTTCATGGCAATTGACTCTACTGTTCCCTAAAGCAAAATTGAAAATAAATTATGCAACACCACATTAATATATATTTATACCAATAAATAAATCTATATATAAATAATTTACGTAGATCATTCTGATGCCTTATGAGTTTAGGAGCATATAGTACAGATTGACCTCTGTATTTATCTACTGTCAACACAGCTGGTGGAAATGCATCTAGATTTGCATCAAGGAAAAATTCTGTGCAAAAATGAGGATCACCTAGCCACTCAGATTTCTATAGCTGTTTCTGTAAAAGGGAAAAATCCATTCTTCCTTAGGAATTTTTGTCAGCAACTCTAAGTAAGATGATTTTGTGAGATGTATTATTCATCAAAAGCTTAAGGCCTGTGTCATTAAATTTTTGGAAACTAATGGCTGAATAGAATTTTCAACCCCTCAATCTTAAAAAAAAAATCCTTTACATTTTCATGTGTCTTTACTAACAAGAGTATTTTAAGATGAAACTACTTCTTCCTAGCACTCCTGCAATTAAATACACTAAGCATTTATACAGACCCATACTTTTCCATATATTGTAATAACAAAAGCACTCAACTTCTTCCAAATTAGCCTCTTTCTTACTAGTGTATGCATTTATACCCAAACCCAATTAAGTGTATTTTGTAGCCTTGTAGTTCTTGGTAAGGTCAATAAAAAGTACATTGCCTTGTAGCTGGCTAAGGGTGCTCTCATTTCTAGACAATATTTAACTGTGTATTCTATGAAATAACCTAAGAAGCTTTTGTTTTCTTTTGAAAGTACCTCGAATGCTCACCTGAAAAATAAGGCAATTCCTGGCCTTGACAAGAATGCCTATTTTCTCAAGCTCAGATATGTATGCAGATCGGCTGACAAGCTTGTCATTGAAAAGATACTCAGAACAACTACCTAAAGGAAGAAGGAAAGGAAAAAAAAATACTACATGGCTACAACAAAAAACTCCACTGGAAAAAAAGTTAAACTAGTGGAATAATTTAGCTGAGCTATTTTCTCAAAGAAGACAATAGATTTCAATCACTGCCTTTATTCCTTTCAGTAATTTATTTTTTCTGTTAAAAAACTCTACGTTCCAATTTTAGTACTTTCAAAAGGAACTGACACCTGTACAAGGTGTCAGACCCCATTTCTTAGAGCCCACATCACCTACAGACCCCAAGGAAACATCTAGAGACAGATACCGAGCAAAGAACATAGAATAACTAATTAACCCAAATACATTTTTTCATTTATATCACTATCTGAAGGACTACACTAATCTGCCCAACTACAAACTAATATTGGGCATCTGAAATTCCAAGTTGGGTATTTTTGGTCTCCATTTCTTTATACACCAGACAATAGACAGCACATGCAGCAGAATCCACTACCTACCACGGATAACTCTGGAAAATGTTTTTTCTTCCCCATCTTCCTCACAATACACCATCTTCACACTAGCTGTAGAAGACACAGGCTGCCCAACATGTGCTCCGTGAATAAGTTCTCGAACGCTTTTAACTCGCAAGTTTGCTGTTTTTTCACACATCACAAAGCTAACAGCATCCATTATGTTAGATTTTCCTTAAAAATTAAAAAAAGAAATTTTTGACACATGAATGGAAGCATTTTATTAAGAATTAAAGAATCTGGAAAATTGCCAAATTCTTAAAAAAATTTATTTCTAATTAATTATTTTTTATTCTTTTGGGAAGAAATTCTTCTCTTTGAGGGTGAACACAGTGGCACAGGTTGCTCAAAGGAGTGGCTGCTCCACTCCTGGACCTGTTCAAGGCCAAGCTGGATAGTGCTTGGAACAACCTGGAAGGCATGACAGGGGGGTTGGAACTAGATAAGATATGAGCTTCGTTCCCACTGAAACCATTCCAGGATTTTGGGATTTTATTGAGGAAAAGCTGTTTCACATTTTAAAGATGTAACAACACACTGGCAGCAGAAAATAAAGCCTGTCTGTAGTAAAAACTATGACAAAACTGATTTATTTTTCCAGCCTTGTTGGAGAAATCTTTTGGTTTTTACACAGGCTTCTCTAGAAGAGAGTGTGCCACATCACCCTCCTTCCTTGGCAATGTGCTTTCAGGAGTGAAGTGAGGGAGGTTTACTGCATCAGCACTCCCAACTTTTCCACTGCAACTCCAGTCTCCTGAAGAATATTAGCACTTGCTTAAATCCATTCACCACAGCAACAAAGCTATCTGGTCATAGTTCTTTGACAAAAGCCTTCCTAATGGAATCCTCTTTTTGTTTTATCCCTTTAGCGTTGAGCATTTCTGCTGACAACTTAATTATTTTCAGTCTTCAACCTTCCTACTTTGACAATATTTTGACTTACTCTCCAAAGTATCAGTAAAGCAAGAACACTAGGAGGAAAACAGAGAAATAAAAATACTCAATTCAGGGATTATGTAATATTCACACCTTTTATTCTCCTGGATTCATGTATAAAATGTACTCTGATTTAAATGAAAGAGCACCTGGAAAAAGTGTCATAGTTTTGAGACTTGACAATGCGGAACAGTGGGGATAGGATGACAAAGAACATGATACTAAATATTTTCAATTTACATTCATAGATCTTACTTCAATCAGGTAAGTGAGGAAACTACAGGGCCTAAAATCTGAATTATACACTAAATCATTAACAGACTGGGGAAAGAAAAGTGAAATGCTAAATCCATCCTCATTGCTCTGTTATGACAGCCCTCACCTCCCACCACTTCGATAAACAGACATAAAATCCCTTTTGTTGAATTGTACTTTCTGAAGCAGAGATCAAATGTTGGGAAGTTCCCGCACCTTGGGATCACCACGCAGCTGCACCTTCAAAGCCGGGCCGGTGCGAGCTCCCCTCACGGCAGCCGCCATTTTGCAGAGCTTCCCGGAGGAAGCGCAGCAAAACCTTCACAGATTCCCCTCAAGAAGCAGGTTTCCAGATACAACCCGCAGTGTTAAAACCATCTTTATGTGATCCTGCCCTTCCATCTTGTAAAAAATACTTTCAGCTAAGAATTACAGCGCAGGTGCTTCCTACGCTTTATTTATACTGCCACACCTCCAGGTGCACATGGTGAGATTTTCAGCATGTCCGTGAGGTTGAATTCCACCAAAATGCGCCCTTAACGTCGACAGCTCATGGAGCAGCTGCCCTCTACCCGCACCCCCACCCACAATACCTGATCCATTGGGCCCGATGATGCAGTTGAACCTCATGAAGGGTCCGATAACCTGCTGCCCCCTCCACGACTTGAAGTCCTTCACCACCAGCAGCTTCAGGTAACCCATCCCCGCGGGGAGCTGGGGCCAGGAGCTCCTGAGCTCCGCACCTCAACCCCCTCAACAACGACACCTCACCCGTTAGTTTACCGACAGAAAAACACCCCTAGCCCTCTCCCACGATTCTATCGCCTCAAATGGACGGGCGGCCCCGCCCCGCCCTCACAGCCTGCGCTCCTCGTGCAGCGGCTCCGCCCCGCGGGGCCGCTCGGGAGTTGCCGCTCCCGTTCCCCTCGCGACGGGCCGCCCTGCGTCCCGGCTGCCAGCGCCGCCGTCCCGCTGTTCCCATCGCGACGGGTCGCCCTGCGTCCCGGCTGGCCAGCGCCGCTCCCGTTCCCATCGCGACAAGCCGCCTTGTGTCCCGGCTGGCCAGCGCCGCTGCTCCCGGCTGCCGCTCTCACTCCAGCCCCGCCGTCGCGCTGTTCCCTGCGGCGCCATGAGCGGGCTGGGGCCGCAGCGGGAGCTGGAGGAGGCCGCTGCCCTGGAGCGCCGGCGGCGGCGGGAGCTGCTGCGGCGGGGCCGCATCTTCAACCCGCGGATCCGCACCATCGGGGTGAGGGCGGGCAGGACGGGAGGGAAGGCGCCGTGTCGCCCTGGATTCCCAGGAGTTCTGAAGAGAGCGGGGGTGGCGGGGGAGACCCCCAGTGCGGGGCAGGGAGGGAAGGGGCGGCTGAGCTGGTGTGAGCCGCTGCCCCCGTGCCCCCTCCTCAGGTGTGTGTGTGTGTGAGGGGCAGCCAGCAACAAGGGAGAGCCCAGATGCAACTTTCAGAGTCGCGTTTAAAGTTATTGGTGAAAGAAATCATAGAATATTTACGGTTGGAATCAGTGGATCTCTGAAGATCATCCACTCCAGCCCCCCAGCCACGGCAGGGTCACCCAGGCAGGTAACACAGGAACGTGCCCAGGTGGGTTTGGAATATCTTCAGGGGGAAAGACTCCGTGACCTCCCTGGGCAGCTGTTCAGTGCTCTGCCACCCTCGATAGAAAGAGGTTTTTCCTCCTGTTGGGGCAAAACTTGCTGTGTTTTACTTTATGGCCATTGCTTCTTGTGTGTGCCTGTGCCCCACTGCTCTGGATTCAGGGGCCAGGTGTCATTGCCCCCTAACAGCAGAGGGATCAAGCCCTGTGTTGTATCTCTGTGCAGTAGTACTTGGATGGAAGCTAAGGGCTTCCAGAGTCAGTTCATGTAATATGGCTGAGGCAAGTAATTATTTTTAACCTCTCTGCTTTGTGATACTGCCCTTTTCTGTCTGGACCTCGCTAGAATTGATGCTGTGGGAAATTTAGTGCTGCAAGTGTCCTGCAATTAGTCCACATTTTGTATCAGACAAAATAGGACAGATCCATCCTTGTTTATATAGAATTGTTATTAATATAATTGCAATTAATTATTAATATAATTGTAATCGATACAATTATATATATATAATTGTTATTAATTTTTGTGTCTGATTTTCCTTGGCGTGGATGTGCAAATGTGAACACACTTCCAGCTAGTGGATTTTCTCCAGAGTTTACTATGCAGTTTGCATCCTGAACGTCAGGAAATAATGTCCTCTATACCTATTTGACTTTGGATGTAATAGTATTTTGAATATCCCTGTGATATGTCCAAAGGCCCACATTAATATTTTGTGAGCATGCATGGAGGGAAGAGTACTGTGAGGTGATTTCATTGAACTGGTAAAATTGCAACAGGTGTCAGTTGGATCCTCTTAGGTACAGGAACACATCTCAAGTCAGTGGAAAAACATCTTCACCTTATCTCTGACAGGGCCTTGAATTTATTGTTTTCACTCTTATGCAAGAGTCATTGTATCTGCAGAGCAATTAGCAGTTCCCACTTACTGAACCTGACAGGTGTATGTGTCCACCTGGTACAGCATCCCAGCACACACCAACAGTGTACCTAAGTACCCAACAATATACTTCAGTGGAAGGAGCTAATAACATTTTTTAGCAGTTGTGGTATGGGTTAAGATACTTGAAATTTCTTAGTCAGAGACTCATACTTTCTCTATAAAGTGGCTTTTCTAGAGCCTTAAAAATGAACATCAAACCATAAATTCTCAGTTAATGAAATAGCTGACAACTAACGTATCCTGGTGTGTTTTATTGAGCTGTACTGGAGTACACCATCTGAAGGTTTTACCCAAATACTTTTGTAAAATTGACTTGTTTGGTAGAACTGACTCAGGCAGGTTTTGATAGATCTGTTTACATTAGACAAACATCTAAAATGAAAGAGAGTTCATCTGGAGAATTTTGATTAACAGCTTATTTTGCTTTAACATCATTCAATTTACCTGAAAAATGATGCTGACAGAAGGGCTGTTCTTATGGTTTGAAGTTAGACCAGCTTTGAACCATAAAGAGCCAGGAAATCCTACAGAGCTCTTCTGTATCAGTATTTCTGTGTGGTTTTATGATTCATTGCTTCAGTTCTCTGACCAGTTTACCTGAGTGGCAGTCAATTTCAAGCTGAGAAAATTTAAAAATCAAGACAATATTTGACTTAGAAACCAGAAATCCTAAAGCATGGTTTGAATATTTTAAAAACATGGAGGTAATATACTGGAAAGCAGAATGGGAACCCAGATTTTCTATTTTTTTCCTTGATTATTACTGGTTTTATTACTACTTTGACTTCTGTATCTGTTTTGTCATCTGGGTAATGGAAACATAAGATAAAAACATAAGATAATGCCCTCTTTACTTACAGATTGAAGAATCCATCCTCAGTAAACCACTGATTTTTCTAGAGTTCAGATGAGTAATCCAAATGAAATACTACTTTCAATTTACATGTAAACTTTATACATAAATAGAACAAGTTTAGAAATTAGCTGCCTCAAACTGTTCATAAATTTTTTATTTAAATGCTTAAAAATGAAACCTGTAGTTTTATGTGACTGGGAATGTTGGTTTTAGGGATGTTTTTGTGTAGAGTGAAGGAGTTTTCAAGAGGTCAGAGCCAGTAGTGTAACACAAGTCGATTCACTGACCTACCTCTATTATTGCCAGAATGCCAAGAACTTGTATTGAATTTCTCTTAACAGTATTTGCTGTAGTTATATTGTCAGCTTGGCTTTCCCAATGAGAGCTGATATTTAGAGTCCATTGTTTTTGGAGGATAGAATTCTTGATGGTTTCAGCCCTGCTTACAAACTTACCTCTTTGCTTGATGGCTCTTGTCCGTTGTCCTTTACAGCACTAACCCTGTCTATTTTCAGCCATGACCTGTTTCTGTTTTCATCTGAATAGGTTTTAGACAAAGGCTATTAAAATTGATTGCCAGATTCTTGATGACATTGAGTGACTTGTCAATAAAAAAAAAAAAATAAAAAAAAAATCCATGTTTCTGCCTGTTAATTTGCCACAATCTGCCAACAAATGTGGGGCCACATTCTTTTGCCCAAAATGGAGGTGGCTGCTCCCATTTGATGTTGTGGCCTCTATTATCCTTTGCTCAGGTCCCACTTGCCATGGATGTGGATGTTCTGTACCATATCTGTCAGCTCATCACAGATTGTGTATCCTGTAGTGTGTTTTGGCAACCATGTGTATCTCTCTGATAAGACTGGAAACATTTCCATTCCTTCCTTATACTGAACTCTTTGTATTTTTTTCAGTATGAACTATTGCAACTTCTTGTCATCTTTACTGTATAAATGAAAGCAGAACAATAAAATGGCCAGCTGTAATGGGAAAAAACATATTCTATGTAATGCAACTGAAAATATTTATAGCTCTATGTATTATGTAAATGTGGTGTTTTCATCTGATCAGGTGCAAGAACATACCTAGCATTATTAAAACAAAGCAAAGCAAAGTAACAAGAATATTTCTGTTTCTGGATTTTGTTTTGCCTACATTAGTAATGTGTATATTCTGTTGCTAGTGGGATTATATCTTGTGCAACTGTGAGTCAATGTAGCTTGACAATACCTATTTTAATTGTTCAAACACTGTATCTCCTAAAGAGCTGCTTTTTTTCATTTTGATAGATTGATAAAGAGGCATTGGATGCACAGGTCAAGGAGAGGAAAATTCAAGAAGCAGCTGAAAAAGCAGAACATGAGAGATTTGGTATATTCCTAGATACTGTGATATTTCTGTGAATAGCTAAATGTTTTAATCCCTTTCTTGCTTTCTTTTATCCCTTCATATATTCTCTAAATTCAGTCATCCAATTTATGTCCTATTTATTTTCATGCATCTACATTGGCACAGTCTGTATTCTCCTTGTTATTTTAAGATTTATATTGTCATGATTAAACTGGAATACATTGCCTAACAGGCCAGAATTTTTAGTGTTTTCTTTTAAAAGGTATTGAGGAATAGCATCATTTAAAAACCTGAATATGCAGCAGGATTAAAAAAAATAAAATTAATTCCTTACCACTGTCCTGTTCAGTATGGTGGTGGCTAATAATTTAAAACCTGAATATGCAGCAGGATTGAAAAAAAAATTAATTCCTTACCACTGTCCTGTTCAGTATGGTGGTGGCTAATGTGTTTAGTTGTTTAGTGTTTTAGTCTTCTTCCATAGAATATATAGATTCTCTGGAATCCTCTCTAGATTGTTATTGCTGGAAGCATGGGTCATGTACAGTACGGTGATAAGAGGAGCCCTTGCTGAGTCAGAACTTGCAGCCACACCAATATTTCATGCTGTGCCCTGACCTCAAACCCTTTGTGGCCTTCTGTGCTTGGCATGCTTTCCTGTGCCATCAGATGAAAGGGTCCCACAGCCTGAGCTCTCTGTGTGCTTCAAGAGGAGCTAAAATGGAGCTGTCACTTCCAGCTGCTTGGGATTTTCCTGGCTGGAAAATGCCCCTGTCAGGGTGTGACTCCTGGGAAACTACCAGCAGCAATGTGGAGTCTGGCAAAAGAGGAAATGATCTTTTCTAGCAAATTATTTTAAATAACTAAAATGGCTAGTTGGGTGGGAGTTTTGTTGTTTGTTTTTCTTAAAAATGCTGGAATTTATTTAGTTCCAATTAAATGGGCAGGAGCTCTTAAGCTGTTCAAAACTTAATGCCAGCCAATGATTTTAGTGCTATGGTTAGAAAAATCATTGGAACTGTGGAAGAGCTACCTATATTCCTTTCAGTTGCTGCCCAATTTTGGTTTGTTTCCTGTCAAGTAACAATGTAATTCATCTGTAGCTGTAAACTAAGAGTAAATGGGAACAACTGGTTTACTGTACATTTCTTGTGAAGCAGGTTTTCACCAAACAAAACTTCCTAGTTCTAGTACTTATTATTGTATTTGTTTCACATGCACGTATTTCATTGTAACATTAATAAAATAATTTATACCTAAAAAGCTGAAAATATTTCATAAGTAAATATTACTAACATTAGAGTGTTTGGTGGGCTGGTACTTATGGATCAAATACTCTCCTAAGGCATAACAGTTTGAAGACTTATATTCTGTGTATTTATCTGGAAAATTTTATTTTCACCTTACGTGTGCACTCCAATGACTCATGCACCTCCAAGAGTTGTGGTTTCATTGTGTTCATTTTTGTCTAGCTCATGACATGAAGAAAAATGACAAGCTCATGTGTCTGCTAGAAGAACGCCAGAAAAATGAAATCAAAGACATGAACAGGGCTCTAACTGAATTTCATAAGAATTTTCAGAAGCCAGAAACAAGACGTGAATTTGACCTGAATGATCCACAAGCCCTAAAGAAAGACAGACCTGCTCGAGTTTCAGACGATGATCCTCGGTGTACCATATCTGGCATGCAGAAGTTTATGGGTGAAGACTTAAACTATGATCAGAGGATGAAGTTTCAAAAGGAGCAATTGAGGGAGTGGTCTCTTCAGCAACAGAAAGACTCAAAAAATGCATTAGCCGACCAAAAATTGGCAGGTAACAAAAAAGATAATGTAGTTTTGATCTTCTTTTTCTGAAGTTGTGGTGTATCTGATGAAAATATGGTATTGTATGTTTAACTTAGAAATACTAGACCAGCTAGAAATACTAGACCAGTTTTTACTTTATAAGCTTTAATGTATTCACTGTTTCTCTTAGGAAGTTTCTATTTCATAACATGTGATTGTAATATCTCCCAGGTTTCATGTCTGGTTTGTGCCTCCAGTTTGTATCTTCATTAGGCCAAACTGTCCAATCCCTACTGTCCTAGAGCAGAAAAAATAATACTGATTTTTCTTTCCCAGCTTGTCATGAAACATTACTTTCTGCAGTACTTAACATACTTCTTTCATTTTAACACTAAATGTTTAGACAAGATAGGTTACATATTAAATTGATTTACGAGTCACCTGAAATCCCAAGATGGACAGCTTTGATGGTAGGATTTTTGGAAATAGTTATTCATCCTACTGTATCTGTAGCTCCCTCCTGCCCCTTCTCCTGGTTAACTCATGGCACACCATGTCCATGAATATTGACTATGTTTTATTGTAATCTAATTTAGATGATCTTTATGACAAGTTTAGGATTGAACTTGACCGAAAGATTATGGAAGAACAGAGAAAAGAAGAGGAAAGCAGGCGTGCTGTTTGTACAGCTACTAAAAATTTCAATAGAATCCAGGTAAATGATTACTAAGTTGGTTTGTTGTTTTTTTAGAAAATGTGGAGACAGAGAAGGAAAATAAGATGGACAAAATCAGAATAAGTAGTGATGTTTTCAATGGGGGTTTCTTATCACCCGACTTCCAAGGCTGCTTCAGCTTGGAACAAGATAAATTTTATGCACTTTGCCAAGTGAGCAATCGATGCAAAGATTGAGATGTCTTCTATCTAGTTATCCTCTGCAAAATTGTCCCTCCTGGTTCTCAGCTTGACTGGTGGGCAGAAACAGCTCCCCAGTCATTCAGAGGCTTTGAGCTGGTAAACTGGGGTATGGCAAAAGCCTCCCATGCTTCTATCTGGGTTTACATCAGACCTCCCATACTCTTATGTGTCTGTCATGCTCTAGTTCTTCATCTTCCTGCAGAGGGTTTTCTTCTCTTCAGCTTCTACATACAGCCCAAAGGGTTACATGGATGCTATTAGCTTAAACTATATTTGTTGTGACTTAGGTTTAAATGTTTTTATCACATCAAAATAAAACACATTAGAGTTACCTACATTAAGTATGGTATTTTTTGGTTTAGCTGTATAAGCATGCAAGTCTTTAATGTTGCTTGAGCCTTTTGGGGGGCATTTGTCATATAATTTTGTTTTTAGACAGCCCAAGTTAATTGAGAATCAGTTGCTTTTGACAGCTGTATACATGTTGGAAAGACATCTGTTATGATGTGCTAACATTTTTTCATCCCTTAGTTCATATTTTTCTTGGGAAAAAAAAATCACTTCTGTCTTTCCATTGAATTTAGGCTGCTGAAGTAGATCATAAAAATGAATTGGAAAAGGCTCAAAAAATAAAAGATGACATGGATGAAATTACCTGCCTCCTTCGAGGAGACTTCCTTTCTGAAAACCCTGACCAAGCTTTCAGTCCCTGGGCTAAACGTAATGTGCTGGTGAATCGATGGAAGGGAATGAATCAGGAGCAGCGGATGGCAATTCGTGAATTTCAGAAGGAACAAGCTCTGGAGAAACAGGTATTTAAGCTCACATGCATTTTCATGCATTGTTTGTTTTCTTGGTTAATAATACTATAGACAATGTTTGTAGAATAAAAAAAAACCACATTGTTTGCCCTGACATGCCAGTTTGAGACTGTGTTTTCCATTGATCTGCATTTTACCCAAACTTTAATCAGTCTAACTGAACACAATACCTCTGAAGCACCTGGGAGATGTCATGGGCTGGAGCCCTGGAGTTGGACTGGGAGGAAGGTTGCTGAGGACCCCAGGTCCAAGGGCATCTCAGGGCATGGTCCATGATGGTCCAGCTGAGCAGTAAAGTCCTGCCCAGCCTAAGACCCAGGCTTCTTGGTGCAATTCAGGACCTGAGAGTGCACAAGCTGCCTGCAAGGAGTAGGCTGCTCTGTAGGGGAAGAAGATCCAGGAGCTGAAGGTGAAAGCAGGGCAGGCCAAAGCATTCTCATGCTCATGGGTGCCCAAGCAAGGCAAATAGAGCAGGTCCAGTGAGGTAATGCATGTTTCAGAGGCCTAAAAGTTCATGAGTGTAAGAATGTGATGGAGTTTCATTTCTACCATTTCACACCACTATGAGCCATGCTATAAAATGGAATTTCAATGGTAATGGTTGATGCTCTAGAGGTGTATAGAAGCAGGCAGTTAAAATGAAGATGTCTAGGCTCCAGGCCTGCATATTGTGAAATAGGAAGTGACTTCCTCCCTTGTGCAGAGGCTGCATTTATGACAGCTAAGGAATAGTGTTTCATTTTTATCTTTTAGTCCTTACAGTACTGTGGGCTATACTATATCTTACCTAGTACTGTTATTAAACCTGAAGGTAGAATTGTTATTTTTCTGCCTCTCCTATTACTCTGAAATGAACCCATTCAAGTCATTAGGCTGGCTGAAAATGAGTAAAAACAAAAAAAGTAAGTTTTTTGTGGGCCTGTTTTTTTTTTGATTCTGTTCAGGGAGGTATCAGACAAGAAGTGAGACAGAGGAAAAAGGTTTCTACTCATGTGGTGTTTGTGGCTCCACTTTTTTACCAAGTTAGCCATATCATAAGCCATACTGATGTCTATGCACCTCTTGCTTCAAGAAGTTGCAAGTTGCTAACAATAATAAAAAAAATAATCTGTTGCTGCTCTGGATTTTTACAGAGAGAAAAGAATAACTCTTTCATTGGCTGTATCTTGCTTCTGCCTGGTTTAGAAATCCTTGCTCCTTTCTCCCCATTTCAAATGCTACCCCTAGTGTTCAATAAAGGGAAGGAAGTTTGTTTGGATGAACCCATGAGCCTTTATGTACACACTTCCACCTTTGAAAGAGAAAATGAAGCCTTTTGCTCACTCCTGCAGAGAGCCAGAGAGCAGGAGCGCCGCAGAGATGCTGAATGGGACAGGCAGCGTGTGCAGGCTGCGCGAGCCCAGTTGCTTCAGGAGCGGCACCAGCAGCGGCAGAACCAGGAACAGCGCCGAGATTTGGATGCCATGAATGCAGGGCTCTCTCAGGAGCAGAAAGCAAAGTAAGGACCAAACCTTCATCATTATTAACCCAACAGCTTGGCTTTCAAAGAGCTCTTTTGACTTGTTCTGTTTGTAACTTTATTAATACATTTGTTACAAGTTCATGCTTTTAAAAGAATCAATGCTTTGCCTGAAGTGTGTTTTCCAGTATTATTTAATCAATCTTCAGAGAGTAGGTTTTGAGTGTTACTGACTGACATGAATGAGTTAGAATCTGGAATCCTTAAAAGCATTCCACTGACAACAGACTGTTTATATAGATGGCAAAATAGTGAATAAATATAATCAGCTATGCAGAAAATTATATTATCAGGTAAAAAAACATTACATGTTTCTTTAATTTATCTTAGTTTTCTGAAACAAAAAAGGATGACCTGCTGGTAACCTGCCAGTTTCTCATATCTCAAGGTTAAACTAGCACCACAAAGAGCATTTCCATTATGTATGACACAACTAGATGATTCTTTAGCTAACCACTGGATGTGTCTTGAAGGGCAGTTCTTGTGTCTGCTCTTATGGGAAAGGAGAAAGATAATACATGCAGGAAAAGAAAAACAAACATAATGATTTGAAGAAAAACAAACATAATGATTGTTCTATTTTTCCAGGTTTTTTTTTGTTGCTGTTGTTTTTTTGGGGGTTTTTTTGGGCATGAATACAGAAGCACAGAATAGTCAGAATTGGAAAGAACCTAGAAGGATCATCAAGTCCAGCTCTTAAATGAATGGCCGATATGAGGAATGAACCCTTGACCTTTGCATTATTAGCCCCATGCTCTGACCAACTGAGCCAGTCTCAGGTTCATATATACCTTTTGCAAATGAATTTCCAATACATGATGCCTTCTTATTATGAAAACAGAACTTTGGAATTGTGTTAATTCAGGCTTTTTTACTCTGGAGATTGCTGGAGGGACATTTCAGGAAGAAAAAGCCCCAGTTTGCTATATTGAGATGTGGCATATATTTTGCAGAACAAGTTCTAGTTACATTGAATTCCATTTCTAATAATTTATGAACATTTATGGGTGTTAATGCATTATATCTTTTTTAGATTTCTCAGGCTACTTCTGAATAATAGCAAAAAAAATTACTAATGGCTTTAAAAAATTTTATTTATTTCTAGGAATATTTATCTTAAAGAGGAAGAGTATTCAAATGTTCCAACAGAGGAGTTTTACGCACAGTTTAATACAACCACCCGGTGATGATCTGGATAAATCAACCAGAATTATACAGAAGTATGTAGACACATTAAAATTTTCAGTTGAGCAATCCCATGTTTTATTGTTTTTATCTGTTCCCTGCCCTGTTCAAACACCGCACGCAAACTAAAGGACAGATCTATTCTAAGAAAAGGAAAACATTGTAATAATTTTTAAACATGATTGTTGTTCTGATAGGACTAGTAGATTCAGTAGTAGGTTGTTTGACTCTTGTGTCGCAGGCTTAGCTGTAATATTTACATTATTCATGCCTATAGAAATAAATTTCTGGAAAGAAATCTGAATTTTAACTACAGTGCTGCTTTATGCAACTTGGCCAGAGGGGAATGCTTCCTGCCATAGTCCACAAGAGATGCCCTTCTCTGGGAGGGGAGGAAGATGACCTAGGCAGAAAATTTTGTGTTGGTTTGTTTGTGGTTTGGTTTTTTTCTTTTTTTTTTTTTTTTATTTTGGATTTTCTTAAAGCTAAAAACCCAGCCAGAGAGAAAGACAAGAAAAAAGGAAGAAGTGGTTAAGTTGGTCAGAAATGTTGTGAACAGTGGGAATAAGGAGAAAAAAGTTCAATAGTCATTGAGGTGATTAGTGCACTGAGACATGGCACTGAAACAGAATGTGTGTAAGAATTAGTGTGGAAAAGCAGGGGGGAAAGTATTCTTACGTCCACCCTGATGCTTTGAATCACAGAATCACAAAATCACAGAATAATGAGGTTGGAAGAGACCTCTAAGATCATCGAGTCCAACCCATGTCCTAACACCTCAGCTAGACTATAGCACCAAGTGGCATGTCCAGCCTTTTAAAAATACATCCAGAGGTGGTGATTCCACCACCTCTCTGGGAAGAGCATTCCAGTACTTTATTATTCCGTCAGTGAAAAAGTTTTTCCTAATATCCAACCTATACCTTCCCTGAGGTGGCTTGAGACTGCATCCTCTGGTTCTGTCAGTGCTGCCCGGTGGAAGAGACCAAACCCACCTGTGTACAGCCTCCCTTCAGGAAGGTGTAGAGGGCAATAAGGTCACCTCTGAGCCTCCTCTTCTCCAGGAAGAATCCTAAGTTTGTCCAGTTTTTCCTTAGTAGAAGTTGTCACACAGATTTCTCAGTCCTTTTTACTGACTTATGTGCTATAAAAAAATTGACTATATAACATTTTTGAGATGAGGGGGTCAGAAGATTTTATAGTAATTATATTTTCTGTTTAATTCCTATTTTCCTTAATGCAAATACTTGTGTACTTATATAGAATTCTAACATTGGGGGTTTTGGCCATTGTTTACCACTGAGAGGCATTTTCATAGAACTCTGTAGTATCTCAAAATATCTCAAATATATCTTTTTCTTCAGTGTATCAACTCATTCAGATCCCCCAAAATGTATATTTAAAACTGGGGGGAAAGGGGGAGGTGGTTCTTGGTATGTGTCACTTTTGGGTTTTCCTGTATGAAGCTTCGCCTAACCTTTTATCTGCCCATCATCCTTTTGCTGCACAGGTAGGTTAATAGGATCAGGAAAGTATATGATCACAACATTTACTTCCTTCTTTAGGGTGTTGAATAGCATTTCACCCAGGGCTCATGGAACTTAGCAATTTCCCTCCAAAGGGAAGTTTCAAAGGGAATTTTCATTCTGTGCAACCTGTTACTGTCTATTTTGTTACACTGTCCTGGACTGTCTGTAATCAACACTACAGCTTGAAACACTACCAATAAGTTCCACATAATGCAGTGTTCTGCTTTGGAAACATCCCTACTCTTCACCACTGTATTTTTGTGCATTTTTTGTGAATACACAAAACATCTCTTCAACTGTTTGCAGTGACCTTATTTTTTCTGCTGCTTTAAGAAATTTTGTCTCCTACAGGGTTCTTTTTAAGATCACCTGCTTATGAGGCATTCAGAAAGGAACATAAATTTTATACCTTTATTTTAGAGATCCTTAAACTTTATTTTTGGACTATGTTGTTAAGTTTTACATCCAACTTGCCACAGTTTGATTTCCCCTCTGCTTCTGGCATGGACCTTTGGAGGAGTTGACAGCTTCCTTGAAAAGATTTTCTCTGCTACCTAATGATGCTTGGGGAAGATTTTTCTTCTAAGGTTTGGATAATGTTTCATTTTGTTTACTCTTATTTTTTTTAGAAGTATTTTACTTAGCTAGGAATTTTCACATTTTCTGGCCAATTAATTTAAAAAATCACTATGTTAAAAATATTTTCCCATAAAAATATTTACTTTGCTTTTATAGGTGAGAGAGACAAATGAAAGAAAGGAAAAACTGGTTCCCTCTTACCCTCATGCCAGTAGGCAGTTTATTTTCTTCTGGAAAAGTACTTTTAATTTATTTATCTTTTAATCAAAAGTTTAAAGAAAAATAAGTCTGCTGCTTACTTTGCTATTTTACAAGAAGAGATGACTGAGTTTCCAAGTTGTGATAATCTCTTTCTCTCACTTCTGAAGCTCAGAAAGGCCAAGTAAGAGTCTTGCAGATGTTGTGAGCTTTGAATCAGAAGTGAGCAGGCACAAGTTCAGCTCTTTTCTCTTAAAACCCCAGAGATCTCTGCAATTAACTTCACAACAGCTAAGAAAGACAGCTTTGAAGTAAAATTTAATACTTCTACTACAGTTACATTGTTTGCATGGTGCAAGGAAGATGTTTTAAGTGTATTTTCAACTTAACCACACACACTGACAAACAAAGAAAATTTTCAATTAAAAAAATAAGCCAATGGAACATCATAAATCAAAAAGGAGTGATCAGACTTTATAAAATAGTTTCTTGATGTTATTCTGGCTCAGGTTTGACCCTTCACTACTTTTTTTTTCATCTGTTCACATCAGTAAAATAAGTATCTGAATTTGAATAATCAGAATGAAACCCATTATATTACTGAATTTTGTATTTGGTTGGGCAGATGACATTCCGTTTGTAGTCATTAAGTTCTATGCAAATAAAAATATCTGCTGAAAGAGTTAAAATGTGTATGTGTAAAGTTGTTATAACTAATGGTTTTGAAGGATTTCACCAAGTAAATTACTGCTTTTTTATTGTTTTTAAGTGTATTACTTTTTTTTTACTGTTATGTTGGCAAGTTGCATAAGCAAGTAATGGAGAGTCAGGTTGAAAATAGCCATTACAAATACTGAAGTCTGATTACAGAATGAGAAAAAGTGCAAATTCCCTTTCTCTATTCCGTTTCATATCTCTGTGAGGATCCTGTTATTTCTCTTTTTGAGTCAATTATTTTAGAACATTTTCTCAGAACCAGTTTTTAGTTCCTCGTTTTAAACTGAAGATACTGTTTCATATCAAATGCAATTCAGAGAATACTAATCTCAAAATTTGGCAATGCAGGCAGATATGTTATATAATCCTAAATGTAATTTACAAATGAACAAGCGAACTATTCATGGACAAATGGGCTTATAGATTTCAAAATCAGAAAAATAAATTCTGAATGGAGAAAAAGATCAGTTTCTGAATCAATAAACTACATTTCACTAATTTCCTCAGTTTTCTCCTGCAAAGGCAAAGTTTTGTTTGCAGCTATTACTGAAATGTTGCTTGTATTTTCAACTTACCTGGTACAGTAATGCTAAAAAACAAATAAAAGCATATAATGAAGGAAGCTACATCAGTCCTGGTTTACCTACTGTAATTTTTTAAAAATTTGCTTCACATACTCTTCCAAATTTATTTCCTGAGGATATTGTGTGTGTTCCCAGCCCTGTAGTACCAAACAACTGTACTTCAAATTCTCAAAGCACAAAAATATTCTGTATGAATTTGGGAGGAAATTAATGTTCAGTCTGTTCCAGTGAATTTTATGTGTCATTTCTGTCATACCTTGTTGCAGTTATTAATGAAGTTAAATGCTTTTCAGATGACAGCACATGGAACCAGGGAAAATTTGATATCTAGTAGATATTCTAATCAGTTAAAGGCTGATGATACAATGGGAGTATGAGGAATACTTCAGGTGATCATTTAATCAGGATAGGTACTGCTTTTTGAAGGCCGAGTTTTATCTAAATATGATTTTTTTTGAAGTTTGGCTTAGCTTACTGATTTTAGTTAACTTTATTAAATTGATTATTATTACTCTTCTGTTGCCACAGCTATGTCTATGTGTGTGTATATATATATATATCTGTGTCCATTTTTGCATGAATCTTCCAATACTTTTTTGGGACTTCAGCATACTTTCTGTTGGTTTAAATACTTTTCCAAATATACTGTCATTTTCTAGATTTATTACAAGAGTTATGAAATGAGGACTTTACCTTTGGAATGTTTCTTGCTATTGATGCTCTAAATGTAGTGCTGCTTAACAGAATTGTATGAACTCTCACCCTGAGAAATCTAATCCCTGTGGCTTCTCATTAGCAATCCTGGTTCTTCACAGAAGAAACCACAAAAATCTTACCCATACAAGAAACCACAGAAAATAAGCAGCAGCCTCTAGATGTCATAGTAGAAATTGCACAATTGCTGTTCACACAGCAAAATATATTCATGCTGAGCTCCTTAGAAAATAGGGAAAAGGGTATTTTTTTCAAATAATACAAAGACTAATCTAACTATGACATTTTGCAATAATACAAGAGAGTGGAAATACTGAGGCTCCAGATGCATCACTGTCATATCAACTTGAACAAAACAGTGCTCCAGTGTGTGATATGGCCCTTCTAATAAGAATATTTGCTATTGATGTGGTGGTTGAAATACACTAAAAAACAGAGTACTTTAAATATTGTGGGTGTTTGTTACAGAATATAAAAATGAAAATTATTTGCCTTTGAGATTTATTAGATTTTCAATGAGCTTCATCCCTCAATAAAATTTAAGAGTTAATTTAGGTTTCTTATTTGAAAATGCTAGGAAGGAAGTGAGGATTGAAAATAGAGTATATACAGGAAAAATTGACAAAAAGAAACAGCCACCTACATAAAGATGTTAGTATTTTAAAAAACAAAATATTTAATTGGTAATATTAAGATATTAGTTGCTAGTTTAATGCTGTCACTGGCAATTAAGTGATGAGATGTTTATACATGATGTCTTGAAAATTGGTTAAAATGCCTGAATGACACTGCTCTGAAATCAGAATGAGTGGGAAAATTAGTGAAAAGGTAAGTGAAAAAAAAAATGGTACAAAACTGCTGAACAGTTTCATAGTATGGTATATGAGAAAATTCAGTTTAAAGAACATAATAATTGGGGTTTGCTGAGTAGCAAAATGGGTAAAATAGTCAGTTTCAAGCAAAACTTCGAACTGGAAAATACTGTTTGTCTTTTCACATGCAGAAGGATCCATGGTCATTCCCTGGGTTCAGGCTTCTGCTGGAATAACAGCCAGTGTGAAACAATGACAATTTTGAGTTATGACTTCTTGGGAGATGCAGGTCTGCTTTTATCTGTAGTTACCTAAGTCCAGCTCAGAGATCCAAGTACCAAGCCTAGACTCAGGATAACTGAAATTGCAGTGGATAGATGTTTGTAGCCTCCCACAATACATGTGAGCATGTAATGTGTAAGTATAGATGTGTGCACATAGACAGAACTTAAAGTGCAATTTTCAAAACCATCTGTTTAGCTCCTGCTGGCTTAAAGAAAAAAGAAAGATAAAATAGTAGTTTTTTGGAAGGATGACCAGGGCCAGAGTTCATTCCAACAGAGATCATAAGCTTATTTCTACAAAGAAAATGTTTTTCCCTCTAAGCTTTAAGGACTGAAGAATGAGAGGTTCTGCTAAGGCTAGCCAAGTGTTATCCAGCTGGTTTTATCCAGCTGGGAAATAGCTTATTGCTTTGATGAACTGCATTAAGGAATGGTCTGCAGGCTCTCTGCTTTTCTGTTTTTGAGGCCTTAGTAGGATGTGTAACAGTTCTTCCAGAAGTGAGAGCATGAGTCATGTATGGCATAAAGAAGTGAGCTCTGGTGGGGTGTGTACCTT